TACGAATGTATTGACTCAGCGATGCCTTCTCATCCTTAAGATTAACGATCAGTTCAAGGAATTATTGTCAATGATTACACACGTTGCTGCTTTAGGTTACTTTTTGCTCGAACTTATCGAACTTGTTGCTGCAATGATCTCTCATTTTTGTTTTGAATATCTCTTATTCGTCCGTGAAAATGCTGGGCTGGTAGATTTTTTTAAAATCATAATGCCACGTTTAATGGACAATACTTGTTGGTATTACATTTTATGCTTGTCAGAACTTGGAGCTGGAGATGCTTCCTGCTTAATTTTTGTCTCAGCTGATTCTAATTGCTCAAATCTGAGAATTCCTTTGTCCTGAAAATATAAAAAGAATATAAAATTAATTTTTATCCAAAATGTAAGAATTCTAAGTGCCGAAAAAAAAATTGAGCAGGACGGTGGAGCGTTTTCTTCTTTTAATGGTATAAATATTAAATTAAACGAATAAAAAAAATTACCTTTATATTTGACTGAAGTCCTGGATGACATACGAATGTATTGACTCAGCGATGCCTTCTCATCCTTAAGATTAACGATCAGTTCAAGGAATTATTGTCAATGATTACACACGTTGCTGCTTTAGGTTACTTTTTGCTCGAACTTATCGAACTTGTTGCTGCAATGATCTCTCATTTTTGTTTTGAATATCTCTTATTCGTCCGTGAAAATGCTGGGCTGGTAGATTTTTTTAAAATCATAATGACACGTTTAATGGACAATACTTGTTGGTATTACATTTTATGCTTGTCAGAACTTGGAGCTGGAGATGCTTCTTGCTTAATTTTTGTCTCAGCTGATTCTAATTGCTCAAATCTGAGAATTCCTTTGTCCTGAAAATATAAAAAGAATATAAAATTAATTTTTATCCAAAATGTAAGAATTCTGAGTGCCGAAAAAAAAATTGAGCAGGACGGTGGAGCGTTTTCTTCTTTTAATGGTATAAATATTAAATTAAACGAATAAAAAAAATTACCTTTATATTTGACTGAAGTCCTGGATGACATACGAATGTATTGACTCAGCGATGCCTTCTCATCCTTAAGATTAACGATCAGTTCAAGGAATTATTGTCAATGATTACACACGTTGCTGCTTTAGGTTACTTTTTGCTCGAACTTATCGAACTTGTTGCTGCAATGATCTCTCATTTTTGTTTTGAATATCTCTTATTCGTCCGTGAAAATGCTGGGTTGGTAGATTTTTTTAAAATCATAATGCCACGTTTAATGGACTATACTTGTTGGTATTACATTTTATGCTTGTCAGAACTTGGAGCTGGAGATGCTTCCTGCTTAATTTTTGTCTCAGCTGATTCTAATTGCTCAAATGTGAGAATTCCTTTGTCCTGAAAATATAAAAAGAATATAAAATTAATTTTTATCCAAAATGTAAGAATTCTAAGTGCCGAAAAAAAAATTGAGCAGGACGGTGGAGCGTTTTCTTCTTTTAATGGTATAAATATTAAATTAAACGAATAAAAAAAATTACCTTTATATTTGACTGAAGTCCTGGATGACATACGAATGTATTGACTCAGCGATGCCTTCTCATCCTTAAGATTAACGATCAGTTCAAGGAATTATTGTCAATGATTACACACGTTGCTGCTTTAGGTTACTTTTTGCTCGAACTTATCGAACTTGTTGCTGCAATGATCACTCATTTTTGTTTTGAATATCTCTTATTCGTCCGTGAAAATGCTGGGTTGGTAGATTTTTTTAAAATCATAATGACACGTTTAATGGAATTTACTTGTTGGTATTACATTTTATGCTTGTCAGAACTTGGAGCTGGAGATGCTTCCTGCTTAATTTTTGTCTCAGCTGATTCTAATTGCTCACATCTGAGAATTCCTTTGTCCTGAAAATATAAAAAGAATATAAAATTAATTTTTATCCAAAATGTAAGAATTCTGAGTGCCGAAAAAAAAATTGAGCAGGACGGTGGAGCGGTTTTTTCTTTTAATGGTATAAATATTAAATTAAACGAATAAAAAAAATTACCTTTATATTTGACTGAAGTCCTGGATGACATGCGAATATGTATTGACTCAGCGATGCCTTCTCATCCTTAAGATTAACGATCAGTTCAAGGAATTATTGTCAATGATTACACACGTTGCTGCTTTAGGTTACTTTTTGCTCGAACTTATAGAACTTGTTGCTGCAATGATCACTCATTTTTGTTTTTAATATCTCTTATTCGTCCGTGAAAATGCTGGGTTGGTAGATTTTTTTAAAATCATAATGACACGTTTAATGGAATATACTTGTTGGTATTACATTTTATGCTTGTCAGAACTTGGAGCTGGAGATGCTTCCTGCTTAATTTTTGTCTCAGCTGATTCTAATTGCTCACATCTGAGAATTCCTTTGTCCTGAAAATATAAAAAGAATATAAAATTAATTTTTATCCAAAATGTAAGAATTCTGAGTGCCGAAAAAAAATTGAGCAGGACGGTGGAGCGTTTTTTTCTTTTAATGGTATAAATATTAAATTAAACGAATAAAAAAAATTACCTCTATATTTGACTGAAGTCCTGGATGACATGCAAACGTATTGACTCAGCGATGCCTTCTCATCCTTAAGATTAACGATCAGTTCAAGGAATTATTGTCAATGATTACACACGTTGCTGCTTTAGGTTAATTTTTGCTCGAACTTATCGAACTTGTTGCTGCAATGATCTCTCATATTTGTTTTGAATACCATGATTCGTCGGTGAAAATGCTGGGTTGGTAGATTTTTCAAATTTATTATTACGTGTTCAAAAAACTGATCTTGTTGCTATTACCTTTCATATTCCTGTTTATTCGTTTCTTGCACAATAGTTTTCCAATCACGATCCTCTCCTGTAAACTATTCTAGAGAAGAAAAAAATGAAACAAAAAAACTAAGCATAAGCTTAGCGCTAAGCATAGCTGTTTAGAACCAGTAGGATTTGCTGGTGATGCTTCTTCCTTAAAGATCGTTGCTTCGATTCACTGACGTCTAAGAATTTAATTTTAAAAAACGTTAAAGCTTGCAAAATGTGTTAGATGATTGATGGATCTTTATCAAGAATTGATTAATAGCATTAATTTTTATTTTGTTCAAGGACAAGACTTACTTCAGCCGCTGCAATTATTGAGAATGGAAAGTTTGCAATTCCAACATCAAGTGAAGACAAATCAAACATCTGCACCGTCCTCACAAAGTCAGTACATGTAGATTGTTGATAAATAAACTAATTTCATATTTTGATGAATTTGAAAGTGGTAATGCCTTTGTGTCTAATCCAGGCATATCAACTTTTGTTGTCGTTGTATTTAATGTATATCATCACCCATCCCATGATTGTAGAATGTCTTCTTCCGGAAATGCTCAGCTGTGATTTATTCAAACTCGTGAAGTTTTGGGGGATAAATTTTTCAACTTTTGAAGATATAAACAGACACATAATGCCAATTAATTGTCTGAAGTATACTAATATTTTGGTTTGCAATAAATTAAAGATGAAGTTTATACACCTCACAAACTCCAATTAACCAGTCAAAAATTGTTACCTTCATTCTGAGAGGAAGAACTGGTAACTTTTGAGCGTATCAACTCGGCTCGATGTCTTCTCATCTTCCTCGCAGAGACTAAAGTCCGAATCATCACTCTCTCCTTTTTCACTGCGTTATCAAAGCTCCAGGATTGGTGTTGTTAAAATTCTTTAATAACATGGTGCTACAGAACTTGGAGCTGGCGATTCATCTTCCTTATTGACTGTTCTAGTTGCTTCTAATTGGTCATTTCTAAGAATTCCCTTATCATAATCTTTAAAGCTTGTGGTAAGTTTTTGAATGATATGTGATAAACTTAAAACAGCTCTTTATAAACTCAATCCAGTTATGGAGGTTAAGCCTTGATCGATATTTCAGGTTGCTAATTTTGTTCAAGTCATAAAATTTGATTATGTTCAGCCTCTTTTTCAAGCTCTTGATCATATGGCTCCATCCATTTGGTTCGTGCTGTTATTGTCACTTAATTAAGACCAGAAAGTTTTTTGCTTTCATTTTTCTACCAAAAAGTAAGGATTAATGCCGAAAAAAAATTGCGCAGGACGGTGGGGCATTTTCTCCTTTGAACCCCATAAAAATAATAAAAACTTAAATTTAAAACTTAATTTTTATTTTGGATGAAATTTTGAAGACTTACCAAAATAATCAAATCATGATTCTGATGACGATCCTAATTCTGGAAAGTGTGGTGCAAGGCTACTTGCTGATGAATCTGTTGAATGTGAGGATGAATTCGTCGTTGTCAAACCCAATCGAAGAAAGTTTATGTTTTCGAAGTCATCACCCAGCTCTGATAGTCTCGTTCACAATTATTGTTCCCATCCGTTTCACTCAATTTCATCCTGATAATTTCGTTCTGTTACTTTTACGAAAGAAAGGCACTTTAAAGAAAATTACTGTTTCCATACGAGGAATAATCAAACATCATAAAAAGGAGATTATGAACATTTACAAAAAGAATTTTTTTCCATAATCAACAGGCCCGCATTAGAAGTCGCACAGATCAAGCTTTAAAATAAGTAATCCATTTTAATTTAATGAGAAGCTTAGAATTTAGAATAAATAGGAATATTGCATTAAAAATAAATAAAGAGGATTGAAAATGGAATGAATGAAGGATAGAAAAAAAAGTGTGATTAAATAGCTTAGAACTTTAAAACTGCAAAAATTGAGAAAATTCATAAATGCGTCTGTGCATAGAGCATGTGTCATCTTTTGTGTCGTTCTTGGAACTAAGTCCTTCCGCTAATTCTGCATATTATTTTTAAGAACCAATAATGTTCAGCAAGTTCCAAACACACATAATAATTTCTCAAATACAAAAATATTCTCAAAAATATGAAAACTTACAGTAAGTTCACAAAGCTTTTGCCAAGTCAGCAACTCATCAACACGCTCATAAAGAGTTCGATTTTTCTTTAAAAATCGCTATAAAATGCTTGCATAATTCTTCTTGTGTCCATATTTCTTCTCAAGTGCCATACATTTTTTAAACTGAGTCTTAATCTCAGTTGGTTCATGCACATGGTATATCATAAAACTATGATAAAGTTCCGAGAATAGCCCATTTTGAGTCTAAAAAGAGGAGTAATAAGACACAATTGAAAAAAATTAATTTAAAACCAATTGTTTCTTGAAACTCAAGTCGATAACACTTGGGAATCATGTTATCTTCTTGCTGGAACCACTGAGAACTTGAGACAAAAGTAAACAGTAGTTCCATTTTGATGCTCAAACTTCTTAAATTTAAATAATTACCTCGACACTTTCTTTGTATGATAAATCTTGAGATCTGGCTGGTGTTGTTATATTTGCATTTCGATTATGAACCGTTGAAAATTCCGTAAAAGAAATGTTTGAAGACATTCTTAATGATTATTCCAGATGATATTCTTGAAAGAAATCGTTGAAACAAACTTGTTGAATTGAAAATAAATTCATAATGATTGCTATGATTTGTTTATTTTGCACAGATTGCAAAGATCTTTTGGCAATTTTCAATTATAAATTCAGGCTTAATTATTTGCTCAGCTTCCATTCATTTCAAAATTAGCGTGACAAACTTGCTGTAATTGAATTTGATAGAATTAATTATCAATAACAGTCGAATTAGAAGCAAGATATCAAAATCATGAAATCAGGAAGGTTTCGAATCAAGCTTTTATGACTTATGAATTGATAATATAGGAAGAAACTGCTTGTCTAATTTTAGTTACCATCAAATAGCTTCAAATGTGAAATTTCTCATGCAAAGCTCTCAAAGTGTGTTGAATTTAAGAAGCAGTTAATCAGTCACAACATTGAATCTAGCTTTAACTGCGAACTTTGTCCAAACGTTTATGCAAGTAACAGTGGATTGCATGATCATTACGCTATCAACTAATCAATAAAATTAGTGCTGAGATCCTCAACAAAGCTGTTAAGAATAAAAGTTCATAGAACATGTAAATGCATCAAAACATTTCACACACAAGTTTCCACTTCCTTTTCTCTTACTTACTTTGAAATTTGAAACGACTAAGTAGCTTTCCTGCCTTCCTATCTAGTGCGCAACTTTCTTGTTTATCAACAGGAGGAAAACAGCTTTAAGTCATTGGAAATGTCTCGTTCGACGTAAATTTGATGAAAAATAAAATTAAGAATAAAAAGCCTTAAAAATTGGTTTTTGAGTTCCGCTAATGATGTGTCACATGAATATTCATAGATCCTGTAAAATGATAAAGGAGCTTTTTTGTGAATGCTGAATAAATGAGTATGCGACGAATACTTTATTATGCACAAGTACATGATGCTTAAAATGTTATCTATTATAATGAGTCACGTTAAGAACATTACGCCTTTGTGTATATTTGTCGATGTATGTTCTCGTGTATATTCTGTTGACACTAATTCCTTTATCTCTCTATGAATGTCTGTTGATTTTTCCAATATTTTAATATCTCTTATCTATCTACATTCACCTTTATACTCATGCTGATCCTGATGCTGATGCTGCTCTATTATTATTCCTTCATGCATCTCGCATCATAATGACTGTTTCTGTGGCTATTCATTCCGATTTTTAATGGATGAACACATCGAAAGTGTTTTTTTTTGGTTTTTAAATTCAATTAAAATGCGAAATTAATGTGGAAGTCTCTAATATAATTTTTTTAGAAACCTGCAGTTTAAATTTTATTTCCTAGAAAAATGTGAGTTAAAAAATTTCTTCAGTATCCATCATAATCATAATAATCATCATCATCAGCAACACGCCATTATTTTGGAAATTTGTGCATTGCATGCATCATCAACGTCAGAACTTTTCCATCCTTCATCTCTTCAATCTCTCACAATTGCTTTTTAAGCTCATAACATTTTCCGTGCATCTAGTAAATCCTCTTTGTTAAATCTCTTCTTCTACGTTTAAACATTTTATAAAGCACATACAATTCATGCATGTGTATATAGTACAAAATTCTTTATAATCCATCGCACTCTCGCCTATCATGTCACTCATAAAATAAATTTTCCACGTGTGGAGCTTGTTTTTTAAATTCTATGAATAAGTTGTGACTTGATTTTGTAATGTATAGAAAAAATATTTTAGCTACTGCTTGTTACATGTCATTGAATTTTTGTAACAAAAAGTCTCTGGAAATGATGCATAGTGGGTAGATTTTATGTGCTGCATAAAGGAACACTTTGATATAAACTTGCAGGTAATTAATTTATTTTTAATGATCAAAGGTATCAGAAATGACAAAGTATAGCTATGTATTTTTATGGGCCAGAGATTCATGAATCAGAGACATTAATGACGTCTTATGGTTGAATGCTATTGGTCATTGCAAACTCAATAAGAATGAGTTTTAGTTCCCGTCAAGACGTGGAAACACAGGATCAATCCTGAAAAATACCAAAAATCCTTAAAAAATCCAAGGCGTAGAAACTATCCCAAATATCTCATTTATCCCATATTCCATATATCCCAAAAATATTCAAAATAATCCCTGAGCCTGTATGCATTAGAATTGAGATATCCCATCATATCCTGAAATTACACTTCCAATACACTAAGGATACGTTGGGATATCTTTATTATCGTGCATACATGCTCAGGAATTTTTTGACTTTTTTTGGGATATGTGGGATAAATATGATATTTGGGATAGTTTCCACGCCTTGAAAAAATCCCTGAGTCAATAAACATGGAAATGTGAAATCCATTTTAAATCCCGAAAGTATTCATCAAATGCATCAGGATTAATCCTGAGTTTCCACGCCTTGATTCACGTCTCTATCTCAGCGTTATTTACAGATGGAACCATGACTTAAATGCTATGCATCTCAAATACACTAGATTTTTAAACCCATCGTCCACATTTGGCACAAATTTTAATTCAAAAATCTCAATAAACAAATCTTAATTGAGTTTCAACATTTTACAAATGCATTTAAAATCGTGAAAGCAGCAACAATTTCAATAGTTTTTCGAGAAATTTTCCCTAAAGTGGTTTTTCGTTACAAATTATTTTTCACGAGAAAATTAAATGAAAATACTCTAAAACCAAAAGATATTTCAATGTTATTTACTATACAAAATTTTCAAGTTGCTGTAAACACGTAAAAGTTTTGCAATTTTCTTTAGAAACGAAAATCCTTGCTATAAAATGTAAACTGTTGTTGTCGTTGTTTGCATGCAAAGTTAAGGAAAATTAAAATTTTGTACAACAGCAGAATTTTCTCGCCATATGATAATGAGACAGTCAGCTAGGCATGCAAAAGTATAAAATGTTAAAATTTGTTTGAAACCTTCTGCTGTGAATGAACATTTCACATACTTTATTCCCATAAATGCACACATTTGTTCCTATTTGCCACTACTCGGGTAAGGAAAATGCTTTTATCCTGCACGTGAAGCTGTAAAAATGTTTCAAGTGTCACAAATGTTCAAGAATCCACTTCGCTTCCCTTTTTTATTTTTGTGCATTTTTGCGGTTCATTTATTTTAAATTCCAATTAAAGTTTTAAAAATTGCAGGTCACGTGCGAAAAACAGGATTAAATGTTAAAAGCGGTAATAATATCTCAGTGACATAATAAAATCGGAAAAGTACTCAAGGACATCAAAAAAGTGTGCCATCCTCAAAAGATAATCATTTTAATTATTATTATGGAACAAACAATTCTTGTTCCTGGATAGATAAATAAATAAAAAGCACTTCCTAATTGTTCCTCTTAACAAATTTGTTGTCGACTATAAAAATTAAATTAATAAGCATCGTATGCCATGTGTGGATGAACATGTAATCGAGATGATAGCTGAAATAATATAAAACGATGAAAAAATTGTCACATCATCTTAAACAGCAATTTCAAAGATGATATCGCCACTTAATGTGCGAAATAAATGAGAATAAAGGAGAAATTTGCATGAAAGTAAACTGAAAATGTGTGAATAAGATAAAAAGGAGCTGCAAAATGTGAATGAGGAAGAAAAGATGAAAGTGATATCGCATCTGAATATCTTTACACATCGTCACATGCAAATGAGCAGCATAATCAATTGAAATTTACATGAAAAAAGGAAGAATCTTTAATGAAATTCTGAGAATGGGTGTTTAATCCTTAAACATGTAATTATGTTCCTACAGATTAAAATTGAAAGTGTAGCTCAAAGCAGTTTAAAATGTTATTTGAGAATCGGGAACTTAACACATTTTGTTCCTGAATCTATTTCATCAATTGATAATTGCAAAAGAAACGTATCATTTCAAAGGAACTAAGATTTTGGGACTCTGATTAAGATCCACGCTGATATCATATTCATATGAACCGCCAATCGCTTGTAAATCTAGAAAGGAAGCAGAAAAATTGAATTGATATTATTATAATTTTTATTTTTATTTTTTTTCTTTTATTGTATGCCAGAGCCGCTTCATGGCAATAATTAAATTGAAATAGACATTAATAAAGAGTTTTAATGATTTATATAAAATCTTTGAAGAAACTCATAAAAAACCTAAAACTCATATTTAAATCTTAGTAACACAATTTTTAAATTAAAGTTAAAACAAACGTGTAAAAAGTAAGCAAAATTTTAATTGACAATTAAAACTATTAAAATACGGACATGCTGAATGATGACATAGAGCAGCTTGGACATGATTGACATTATAGAATCACCTTTTGTAATGGAAAGCGTCTATGCAGAAGCTAAGTTGTGTAGAGTCTAAACACAATTTAAATATACTTTAATATAATAAATCGTTTTATTCGACTCTTATCCGCTCAATCAAGCTTCATTCCTTCGATCTTAGCGCAGCTTCAGACCCGACACCTACAAGTTGTTGTTTCAATAACATGCTTGAGTTTTCATTTTCGATTTTTTAATACTTTGAATTCTTTAATGTTTATTTTTAAGGTGACATTTGTGTATCATCAGTAACTCTTGAGGTATTCGCTGGAGAAGAAAGATGACATTAATTACTAATTCCTTAGATGACATCGCAGTGTTTATTTGAATGTTGCTGGATTTTTTCGTTCTTTAAGGTCAGTAGGAAGATCAGTTTATAATTTGATGCCGAATGGATGTAATTGATTTTTGACCCTAATTTGTATTTGACTTGGAGATTTGTAGCTATTTATTATTACTGAATCTTCCTCGGCTATGTGAACTTAATGTTAGATTAAGGATATCGATTTACACATTTAAATATTATATCGCAGTGAGAAGCATATTTAGTGCTCTAATTGGTCAACAACTCTATAGCTCTATTTTGAAATGATTGCAGAAGTTTAATTATATTATCGAACCATAACATTCCTAAGCATCATAAAAGTTTAGATTCCAACTGTTTGTAATGATCATGAAATTTAAGGTGT